GTTGTAGTTTCGGCAGGATCGAGCTCTGCTGCAGGTGCAGCTAACCTGACCTGGCTAGAAACGCGATCTGCGAATCGAGCGCAGTTACGAACGATATCGGAGGATATCGTTAGTGTCTCGCACGCTGACGTGAGACTAGCTCCAGTAGTATCCCTGTACAGCAACGTGCTTAGCTGTGTTTCTTATTCTCTCTCTTGGTTGGAATTGAGTTCCGCAGGAAGCCGATCAGGCCACGAGGTCCCAAATTGGTATTCTTACTAGTGCATTGTTATCATGTTCTAAGACCAAATTACTTACGATACATACAGACATACAGTACACATTGTATTACAGTCACTGAAATCAGACTCCACCCTAATTCTACGTTTCGCACTCCCAACTCATGTCAAGCATCCACATCCCCCTGGTAGATGCATCGAGATCCTTCAGATTTACGCTGATAATCGACAGGAAGCTAGCAGGAAGTCATAGAACCTCAATGATGCATCAACTATAGTAAATCCCATTCAATCTACCAATAACGCTGCTCTATTGCTTCCAAGATCCCCCGAGAAAAGAATTACCACACTTAGAGCCTAGCCCCCAGCTCATCAAACCGCACCTTCTCCCCACTTCCCAGAGAGTCCTGCAATGCCTTCGCAATTCTGACAGCCTCCACTGCACCCTGAATCCCCATAGGCAGCTCAGTATCATCCAAACAAGCCGCCGCAAACTCATTGACCTCGTCTACGAACGCCATCTCGAAGCGCTCATAGTAATGCGCCGGCAACTCGCGTCTAGCCCCAGTGCGATCAAAGATCCCCACCAGGTTCTTCTGCGCATGGCCATTGACCACTAACTTTCCCTCCGTTCCAATAATCTCCGTCGTATCTTCCTGCCCCGCCGCCATCATCCGCGAACAATACAGATACGCCACCCGGCCCCCATGGAACTCGATAATCCCCACCGCGTTATCCGCATCCCCGTAAGCCTTGAGCTCAGGATGCAGGGCCACGGTCCCACTAGCTACCACGCTCTTCACTTTGCTGTCAGCCCCAAAGAACCACAGGATCAGGTCGATGTCGTGGACGGAGCAGTCGCAGAAGATCCCGCCTGAGGTGGCGGCGAAATTCACGAAGGCACCGGTGGGGTCAATCTTGTCGCATGTTTGGCTGCGAATGATGGCGGGCGTGCCGATGAGGCCCGCTCTCATCTTGGAGTAGGCGTCTCTGTATGAGACGTCGAAGCGACGGGAAAATCCGCACATGACTTTTAGCTCGGGATGGAGGGTTGCCGCGTCGGCGACGGATTGGCACTAAGTTCTGACCGTTAGTAACAAACGTTGACATGAAAAAATCCGAAATAAACATACAATAGCGGCGTCTGTTGAGAGGGGCTTCTCGCAGAGAACATGCTTTCCCGCTTCGATGGCTTTGATAGCTTGTTCGGCGTGCACGGTGGTAATGGTGGAGATGAGCACAGCTTCAAGGCCGCTGTGGCCTAGCATAGCATCGTAGTCTGAGTAGATGGTCACTCCGTAGGGAACCAGGTTGGCGTCAGCCCATTCGGCCTCAACAGGGTCTGGGGTGAAAGCAGCCACCAGGGAGGACCGGGGGGACCGGTGCAGGATGTTGAGGGCGTGACGTTTGCCCATGCGACCTAGACCGGCACAGGCGATCTGAAGTGTACGAGGAGCCATTGCTGTAGTGAGAATATTTTCAATTGAAGATTGGATGTTGAGGTAGGGAGATGTGGACAGAAAGGAACTGAGATACTTATATTGACTGGCCAAGCCTTTAGCCTAGCTAGGATTGAGATGGAGGTCGATGAGGCATGCAATGACGGATCCGACCCGCCTCGCTGATAGGAATAAAATCGATGGGATATACGCAACCTGTTGGGATATCGTGAGCACTGTTTGGTGTTTGAGGCATGCATGAGTCAGCTCGGGATGTGTTGTACGTCGTGTTTGAATTCATGCCTCGGTTGTGATCCCTGCAGTAGACAAAAGAATAACAGATCAGGCCCACATAGTCGGGCAGCTCAGCCGAAGTGCAGCGCACAAATTCTTCGATAAAGAGGAGATGCCCCCGTCACAAGGGGGCTCCATCGTGGTTTCAAGATTGGAAAATCCATTGATCGAGCTTACTCTTTACTGACAGGAGACCTCATGAACGGTCCGTGCTGCCATATCAATGCTGTGTCAATTGGTACCCCCTCCTTCACCGTTGATTGAATAAGAGGACAGCGTTGATATTCGGCTAATCTTCAATTCCAGCAATCCACAACTTATCTTGCAGAACCAGAAGATGAGCCTGGAGCGCTGGAACATCAAGAAAGTAGCAAGGTACATAGTAGACGTGTACAATCTAGTTAGCGTTTGCTTCCTTACATTTGTGCTGGAAGACGCACTGCAGAACGCTGTGAATGATTTATTCCGCTTGCTGAGCTGGTATTCCTTGACACTAAATTCTCATGTATGTAAACCAACGTACCCACAGAACCAGGCATTTACACCCACTGGACTGGCGTCGATGCGTTATCCCAGCGGATCGAAAAAGCGCGACCAAATTGATAGCCAAATGACAGGAAAGAGCCTTGAGGATAGTAAAGGTGTTTCTAGTCTGCATGTCGCTTGGGTCCACACGAATAAATTGAACGCAAACAATCACGGACTATCTCTGGGTACAGGTTTCAAGTACACTTTCAGCGGCCGTTTCTGCCACATCAGAAAGTTCTTCTGCTGGATCCAGTCATGGCAGTCCTCCGAGATAACCATGTCAAAGTTAAACGTGATCAAGGCGAGAATGAGACGCATCTCGCTGTATGCAAGGCTAAAGAAAAAACTTAGTCACACCACGGGATTGGAGCAAGAGGTTGAATTGAAACTTACTTTCTCCCCAGGCAATTTCTTGGACCCACATGGAATGGCTGAAAAACGTCACGACGATCATTCGCGAACTGTGGGCTGCCCATGAAACGCTCGGGATGATATGAGTTGGGGTCGGTGAAGTGCTTTTCACGATGATAGAGTGCCCACTGGTGCATTGACACATAAGTCTGTGTAACATGTCAGAAACGTTCTGGAAAATAGGACATCATAGATAGACCCACGTTTGCTGGTATATAGTGCCCAAGCACCGTGCACCCTCCTCGCGGGCACATGCGCGGGAGACCGTTTGCTATGGGTGGGTACATACGCAGACCTTCATCGAGACACGCGAGCATATAGGATAATTTGTTAACACTGATCAGGTTGATCTCATCTTGGCTGCGAAAAGTGGACCGAACTTCGTCCCTCAGCTTTTGATGAGCTCCAGGGTTCTCGAGAAGGAAATAGGTGACTCCACTCAACAAAGATGCTGTGGTCTCCGACCCTCCAATAATCAGAATCTCGGCGTTAGCGATCAGGTGATCCATGCTAAGGCCCTATATGTATGAGTGAGAATAAATCTTTGGCAAGCGTGATCCTTTGTAGCTTACCAAATCTTCTTTTTTCTTTAGCAGACTGTTGATCAGATCCGGTCGATTTTCGGTAATAGCCAATCGGCGGAGCATCTTAGTCGTGGTAAGGGCTTTATGCTTCTTCTGGGCGTCCTGGAGCGATTTCGGAACCAACAGCAATAGAAGTGTTCTGAGCATGGGGTAGAACGATATTGACTGGAGTATAATTCCCAACCGTCCCGATTCAAATATACTTCTGATCCAAGAATCATATTTTGCATTTTCCAAACAACCAAACGCTTCACCAAATGCAAGATCACCAATGATATCAAAGGTGGTGAAATTGTACCAGTCGGAAAGGGCCACGGGTTGTCCACTTTTACTATGCACATGCAATTTCTCCAAAAGCAAATCAGTGTATTTGCGAATCAAGGGCTCCTGATCTCGCATTGACTTCTCCGAGAAACCATGAGCCATGGCGCGACGCAGACATTTATGCTGATCTCGCTCTTCGTTGACAATGTGTCGTGCTTCGGGAAACGGTCGGTAAAACCAATCGGCTTTGCCCAGCTCTTCCTCGCCGTTCTTGTGGCCCATGATGTCCTTCCAGGCGTCCGGATGCGAGAACGCAAGTTCATCAGGTGCAATGCGGACAATGTCCCCATAACGATCATGGAGGTCCAACATGTGGAATGGGAGCGTCCCTAGGAGTGCATAGTAGCAATAGGGAAGGCGAGAAAGGGCATGGGAGACCGGGCCCGGGAACCGACTGAGTGGGTGAAAGAAGACATTATAGACAATTTTGGTGACATAATAGATGATGACCTGCGCAGGATAGTTAGATTTAGTGTTGTATTTATAGCAAGGAAGAGATAATACCGTGGAAAGAAGTACTGCCAACCCCGTGCTACCGTCAATTAGAATTAGATTGTTCGTTGTGAGCATGTTCAGCAGTGTGACGACCATCCGCCAGTGGATGATAGAATATTCCAGGTAAGGTTGTATCGGCCATATTTATATAAAGTAGGAGGTGCTTTTAATGGATGTATTTGGAGACATGCGCAGGCTGCCACAATTCAAAGTCCAGAATTATCTGAGAATAGAAACGCGGGTGGAGGCAAGCAAATAAACCTTCAATTAAAGTTCCTACAGAAAAAATGGAAAGCGAGTTCGAATGCGAACCCGAACCCGAACCCGAAGCCAACCCGAAATGTGGAACCCTGAAACACATTCTAACAACAAGATCTGCACGACGTTGATGGTGAACAAGCCAACCATATCTCGCCAAAAAGCTGTTCCCGTAGTTAAAGTAGATCCGTGGAGTTCTGGACCATCAAGGGCATCCTAAAAACTGCCGTTGTAGCCAAATTCCTTCGTCTTCATCTCTCAGCAGGAAAAGGGCAGAATCAGGCATAGTTTGTACTTGTTACATCCGCTGTTCAGAAGGTTAATTCGACTGCCTAGTTACAAGAAGACGTATATATGTATAGACCAATGCGTCGCTCACTCCTCGCGGTCTACATCTTACAAGGAAAGTTATTCTCAACAACCTCTTCCATTGTGAACAACTTCCAATCATGACTTCTACGCAATGCGAATTGTATTTGTATACTCCTAGCCTTGCATTGGCAATTATCGCAGTTATTCTATTCTCTACCCTGACTACCATCCACATATACCGCATGATTGAGTCAAAAGCGTGGTTCGGCATATTCTTCGTCCTCGGTGGTCTGGGTAAGTATCCCGATCACTGATGCCCTCTTACTTCATTAACAACCTGTAGCACAATTGGTCGGATATACAGCGCGATCCTTTTCGACGCAAGATGTTTGCGATAGGGCCACGTACGGTGTGCAATCAGTTGCACTGTTGATGGGACCGACATTGATAATGTTTTCCGTCAACCTCACTCAAAGCGAATTTGTTAACGTGCTCGATGCCGAACAATTTTGTTGGCTCCCACTGGCGTGGCAGAGGGGCGCCTATCCCGCTCTGAACGCAATTTTGATGGTCGTTCAGCTTGTTGGAGGGTGCATGACAGTCTCATCCTCGACTGCAACGGTGGCGACGGGGACGAAGCTAACAATTGCTTTATACGTGATCCAGACAGTTTTCTGGGGATTCACTATGGCAGAAAATATCTGGATGAGCTATCGCTTGGGACGCCATCCTACAGCTGCTAGTAGCTGCGTGCTGGCTAGCTGGAAGATGTGGAACCAATTGATCCCCTTAGCAGGCTCAATCATTGCCACTGGACGCAACGTGATGCGGCTGACAATGGCGGGCGGCATTGAGTTTCTCGTGGACTATGAATGGCCTTCGTACGCATTTGATGGGTATCAAATGGTCGTGGTTTTAGGTGCGTGGGGGATCTTGTACTTACCGGGGAAGTGTCGGGAACTTTCTACTCGAGTGCGCTATACAAACCTCACTCGGCTGAGAGAGTGAGAGAGTGGTGGATGAAGTGTAAGAGAGATTTTGGCTCATTTGTGAGATTTGATTGCTCGTTTTTGGTGTTGGTAACATACGGAACGGGAATTCGCTGGCACAGCATTATTCTGCAATGAAACCTTTTTGTACCTGCTTTCCGCGAGCTATTTCTACTTTATTATCCCAACATTTCCGATAGCACATGCACATAACAAGCTAAGGTTGCTGTGTGTTTATATCTTGGGCGGTTAGAGAGTATTTCAAGCAAGGATTATAGTATCTTGAATTTACCGATTTCTTATTTCCGTAATGCCAAAGATTGAATGAGCCAATGCATTCCCAAGATTGCAACTTATCAATGGCAACGGACGAAAAGCATCTAGCCCTACGCCCGTTTATTTGCAATCCTAATTGACAAATCCTCCAAAGACGGCACTGTATCAAATCAAAAATAGAGACATCAGCGCCCATCTGCGACGATCAAATTGCGCAGTTCAACCGCCGCCAGCGAGTCCACACCATAGGAGGAGATATCCTGAGCAGCAGACATCCTTCGACCACCAGCCCAAATATGCTAGCCAATTTCCTCATCAGCCCCTGGCAGATAAGATGATACCGCAACTTGCCCTGTTGCGTATTACCTCCCTGGTGGAACTATGGTTTCCACTCAAGTGTGTGCACTGCATCGCAATGAGGCTATCTTTCAGAATTCAGAAAGGGATATCCCCGTCACCCCTAACATACGACTATATCTGGAAATGCTGTACATGCTAATGGAATATTTATCCACTTGAAGGTTCGACCCTCGTTGATGGGAGTCTCCGACCCATGAGATGAAAGACGCCTACATGCCTTCGGTGGCACCTCCAGGAGTAAGCCGCCGTTTACTACCGAAACACTCATCCATTATCTCACCTATCGTCAACCACATCAGTCGAGTATAGTGTGTATCGGTAATAGTCTCACGTTAACGGAGATCCGACTGACCACGGCCCTCTTCCTACGTCAATTTCCCGAGGTTCACATGTCGCGTCGGAATAGCATGCGGGATGAGATTTGGCATAGGAGCAGTACTTGATCATGGCATCAAAGGGCCATCGCTTGCTTGTGGAAGCCTGAGTTGACTTCCTCCACAGTATCGCTAAAAAAATGAGAACCATATGGTGTAAGAGGCTTAAGTGGCAGGTTGATGTTGTTTGCAAATACATAGACACGGTCATATAGGTGGTTCAAGAACCTTAAAATCTACATTCACGAAAGAATATGACTGCAAGCCTCATATTGTAGTCAGTATCTAACAATAATTTTTCTAATTCTTCGTCAACTCGGCCACCCGCACCTCAAACACCTTAGCCGTCTCCCTCATCATAGTATCAATGTCATAGTCCCAGATACGGTGAGATCGCCAATACACCTCATCATGGCATATAGAGGCATCAGGACCGACCTCATTATCCTGCCATTCGTAAAAATTACCAATAATGCGACTGCTTTCAACCAGCCACTGCGCACGCTCGCGACGAACAGCATCATAAGTCTCAAATGCGGTTGTTATTAGAGCGGCTTTCCCCTTGGGGTCACATTTCGTCGCGTCCACTCTCTTCGCACCCAGGTCAAGCACCGCACACAGCACAGCCACGTCTTCTACAGCATAGCCCGCACCCGCGCCGTGATGCGGAGCCGCCGCATGAGCTGCATCGCCGGCTATACAGACAGGTCCTCGGGAATAGGTATTTGGAGGATGATCGTACGTATCAAAAACAGCCCATTGATTAATAGGATCGGGAAGCAGGTCGATTATGGTGCGCATCGTAGGGCCAAAGCGAGAAAAGGCAGCCGCCACATCGGTCTCATTCCTCTGAGCCGTCCAACGATCAGCATATGGCCAGGGGTTAGGGTCTGTGACGAAGGCGACGACATTCAACAGTGATCCGTGGGCAATGGGGAAGGTCAGAGCATGGGCATCAGGACCGAGGTGCATGAAGCGCGTCGCCACTTTAGCATCGCCCAGTGCTTCCCTGGCGCGATCCATCGGGATAAGGCCGCGCGCCGCATATTTATGGCTGTAATGAGCCGATGCTGCTGGGTGGTCTTCACCGAAGAGAATCTGGCGAACACGCGACCGGATCCCGTCGCAGCCGATCACTGCATGAGCTGTAACTGTCGTGCCATCTTGGAAACGGAGTAGCTGGCCGAGTCTATTATCTGCTGCGGGCTCCAAAGTATCCAGCGCCTTGTAGAAGGTAACAATACCCTCAGGGAGTAGACGTGCTAGCTCTCCCAACAATTGGGCACGGTGACAGCCCTCGAAACCACGCTCGCCTAGGTAGATCTTGAAAAGCAGCTATTCCTCGGTCTCCCGCGGGTCGGTACCGGTCTCGTTGAATGCGTCCACCCACTGGAACCAGTCTGAAGCATTAGGGGTAGCGACGCGTTTGAATGCAGCATGGATACGCGGGTCGACCACTTTCATTGCCCATTCGGCGTTGGGAGTGAAGCCGATGCCCGCTCCGATTTCGTGAAAGTCGCGGGCTCGCTCGTAGACGCGGACGGGGAATGCCGCGAGACAGGAGTCCCAAGGCCAGGGTGATACCCGTGATTCCGGCCCCGATGATGGCAATTTCGAATTTGTTTGTATCCATCTTGCTGGCGTATGAATTAAATGGGGTAAGTTGTTGGGAAGCGACACATCTATCCCTCCAATATTCGTGGTGGGGTGCTAGATGGCTGTTTATCGATAGGGTATAAGATTTTAGTGCTTACTGCCCAGATGACGACTGCGTTAATTAAGGGGATCACTGGATTTACATAAGAGTTTTGTATTGGTTTCATTATTGACAGGAGTTATGGGCATGACCCTAGGAGGTGGTATTGATAGTCTGCAAGGGCTGCATGGGTTGCATAGGTTGCTCCTAAGTTCGCTCGAGACTGTTCGACTAGTCACCGCGATGGGAGACCTTATCGAAGTCTCTGACACAAAATATCCCGAGCTTTGCGTGGGCCTGCCCTTTGCCGGGTCCAACTTTCCTTGGAGTTGTTACCACGGCTACCTGTTGCACACATCGTGCAACCAATGGGGGTCTTGTCACCAATGTAAACCTCATCTTTGTTGCTACCGAGCACGCTGCTATTCTGCAGGCACTGAGCTCTGTCGATGAGACGCTTCCGCCTGAACTGGAACTAACTCCGGCGGTGGCCTATAACCGGACCATTGGCCAGGTGAGCATTGGTCAAGATAATTCCTCCTCGACCACGGTACTAATTATGGGAAAGCCACTTGTGCCGGCGAATACTATATGCTACGGCCCTCAAGAACAAGTGTTGGGGCTATTGAGCCCCTTCAACAGTCTCCTCCCGGTTATGTCTTGCAGTGTAACCTTGCCCTGAAAGGCCCTGCTCGACACCACCTTCTTTGGCTTAGCAGCCCAGGAAGTAGGGGCCTGCTCTAAATACCAAGCTGTCAATGTCTACAGTATTGGCTCTCCCACATTGACACATCTGGCTGGGAGTCGTACATGAAGCACTTATTGCAATTCTATCGCCATAATTCCACCTACGATGGACGCTTTCTTTTCCAACGCTAACCCACTTAAGCGGCCCTAGCCATGCCGTAATCGGATATGGCCTACCCCCACCAACAGATAAAGATGCATATGTAAGGGGCTCCCAGCCACAAAGACTTTGTGCAGAAATTGACGCTCAAGCCACAGCAATCTCGAGTGATGGCACACAGGACCCTGCCTTGAAGACCCAGTCAACGCCTTCTTTCAAGAGTATCGCCGCCATTTCCAGCATTCCAGCGGCTTCGACAAACTGGCCGTTTATGTGAATTATGCTCATAGCGATGAGGGGCCAGATGTATGGCATACGCCGGAAAGCTGGGCGATCTGACTCGGCTGAAGCAAGCCTGGGATCCTGAAGAGCGATTCAGCTGGAGTAATCCTGTTCCTTCATAGGATGAGTCGTTAGAGCTGCAGTGTCACTGAATGTACATACCAGGAGCTGATTTTCGGCGAATGGAGTGGTGGGCTTTTGCCAAGCTTTCCTACTCGGATCGTACTACTCCGCACAGTTGCGCCAGCAGTCTTCACCCGGAGTTTACGATCGGACTTTGGACCTGAGAGCGATCGGCATTCATTGCTAGCCTGTCAATTCCCAAACCTCGGACTAATTCACATGACCATAAGCTAGGGCATATAGGCCCAGTCTACCCCTCTCGTACTACATGACTTTATTCCCACTTAAGTTCTCCCCGCCTCTCACCACCATGTATTTTCAAGGCGAGGGCAGCATTGACATTCCCGTGCAAGACATCATTTCCTGGATTTTCGACGAAGAACGATATGACATCGACAAGCCAGTAAGCCTATAATCTCCCTCCAATGGCAAAATGCCGCTCATGCAACACTGCAGGTCTACATCGATGCCTCCGATACGAGCCGTTCCATTTCCTGGCGACAAGCCCGCATTCTGGTGCGTCAGTTGGCCGCTGGATTCAAAGCAGCGGGTCTGAAGGACGGCGATTGTGTGTGCCTTCACTCATTCAATGATGTATGCACTCCAGCACAGAATATTTCGTCCCCTCCGACGGAATTCCAGTCCACTCACATAATGATCAGATCTATTACAGCATTCTTGTGCTCGGAATAATCGCAGCCGGGGGAATATACATGGGCACCAATCCGAGCTATACATCCCACGAACTCGGCTATCACCTCCGAGCAGCACAGGTTAAATTCGTCATCAGTGAACCAGAGATGCTAGATCGCATGATCCCCGCCGCTGAAGGCAACGGTATTCCGCAAGACCGCATCTGGGCCTTCACAACGCGCGAGTCGCAGGTTCCAGCGACGACGGGACTTGCTCCTTGGACTGCGTTGCTGAAACACGGCGAAGCCGACTGGCGCCGTCTTAATGATCCCAGTCAAGCGAAAACCACCGTAGTAGCGAGACTGTTCAGCTCCGGTACGACTGGTCTCCCTAAACCCGTGGATTTTACCCACTACAATCTGATCGCACAACATACGCTGGTGTACGATGCACATCCCGTCCCATTTGAGGTCAGAACACCTCCATCCCATCCCCAAGTCGCATATAATCCCCACCTAACAACTACTAGGCACGCCGAATCCTCTATCTGCCCTTCTTCCACGCCGCCGCAGCCCCATCCGCACACTTCAGCATCCTCCGTCTTGGCGATCCATCCTACGTCCTTCGCCGCTTCGAGCCAGACCTCTTCTTAACCACTGTTGACAAACAAAAGATTACCGAATGCACGGCCGTCCCGCCAATTATTCATGCGATACTCGCCCAGTCCACGACCTCGAAAAACTCCAGGTCATTACAATCACTAAAAGTCATCCGCTGCGGCGCCGCCCCACTAGACAAAACAACTCAAGCACGTCTTCAGGCCCTCCTCTCCCTAGACGCAACCTTCACCCAAGTCTGGGGCATGACGGAAGCCTCCTGCATCGCGACCATGATACCCTACCCTGAACCAGACGACACAGGGAGTGTGGGCCGGTTACTCCCCGGTATAGAAGCGAAGATAATCGACTCGTACGGGAATGATATCACTGCTCTTGACACAACAGGTGAGGTCTGTCTACGGGGCCCTACCATCGTACGCGGATACTTCAACCTCCCTTCCGCCAATGAGAACGCGTTCGATAAAGATGGGTTCTATAGAACAGGCGACTTAGGGTACTGCGACGGCAAGACAAGAAAGTGGTATCTGCTCGATCGGAAGAAGGATATTATCAAGGTTCGCGGATTCCAGGTTGCGCCGGCGGAGGTGGAGGGCGTACTGCGGAATCATCCGCGCATTCGGGATGTCGCGGTGGTGGGAGTCTATAATGCCGAAGCAAAGACAGAGTATCCGAAGGCGTATGTTGTGAGAGAGGATCAGTCGCTAAATGAGGATGAGGTGAAGGAGTACGTGGCGCAGCGGCTGGCAAAGTATAAGAGGTTGGATGGTGGGGTGCGGTTTGTGGATGCGATTCCGCGTAATGCCAGTGGGAAAATTTTGAAGCGGTTATTAGAGGATACGAGAGAGATGAAGTTGTAGATCGGTGACGGGAAGGCAAAAGAGATAGAGGTTCCTATTGACATCTACAGCAGGTAGGTTGCCAACTATGCGGCTTCTGCTCCTGACTACGTCTTCATAATTCCATAGGAGCGCAATCATCCCAAAGTACTGAGAAGGCTATAACCACTATGAAAAAGAACACGGTATTGATTCTTAATTCGACCAGATCCTTCCTACAGTCTTGCTTGGACCAAGCGTGTAGTATCCATTTACCTGGCCCTTCGAGGCTTATCTGACAGTGTACTTCTAAAATATCTACAACTGAGCCCGCTCCATCATCGAGGTCACTGCATCTCCCACACAAGTGTTCAAATCGCGGAAAGTCATTCCCAGCATCTTGCGCGACTTGGAGTTATCAAATCCAAAAATAGGCTGGGGCAGGTCATCGGGCATATCGCTCGGAGGCAGCTGGTGAGCCAATTCCGGGTGCGTGGCACGAATAGCCTCCGCAACTTGCTTGTTCGAGAAGTGGCCAGCCACGGTAAAGAAGCGATGTCCACTGACCTCGGGCAACTCCAGCGCTTTACGATGAGCGAACGCAACATCACGGACATCCACGAAAGTGAAAGGAATGGCGATAGGCGCGCCCCCATCTTTCCATTTTCCGAGCATCAGGTCACGGATAATGTGGTTTGAGGTGTTCAGGGCTTTGAGATCCGTGACGTGTCGTGGCTTTGGTCCGAACACCAGCGGGGGGTTAATAGTGACAAGGTCGAAGTTCGGCTTCTCTTTCTCGACGAATTCAAAGGCGGCGCGCTCAGCAAATATCTTCCGCTCTGTGTCAGTAGGGGATAGTGTCGTGCGGTGATAAATGGGCCCATACCTTGCTCGCGCGATATGTAACCTCCGGTGCCATGGCCTCCTCCCAGGTCACCGATCCATAGCTGGTCTCATCGTACACCTCTGGGTGGTTGGGAGGAGTTACAATTGTAGCCGAAGAGGAAGTCACAACCACTCGCTTGACGGTCTGTGCGTAAGCCTTGATGGAGGTCAGCAGTCCGGTGGTACCTTTGATTGCTGGGTCAAGGAAGTCCGTTTTAGGATCGGTGTAGTTGAAATGATAGGGCGAGGCCGTGTGGACGACCAAGTCTAGGTCAGAAATGGATTGGATAGCCTGGTCTTCCATGTTAGCCGGCACTTGGAGTATCTGCTTAGCCGTGTAGAAGAGTGAGGGTTACCTCATCATAGGCCCCATCTTTGGCAATATCCTCCACCACCACGTACGAAGCAGCCTGATCGCCGGTATTTGACAACGATTCGAGAAGCTGGCGGCCCTTGTCGTGTGTGCGAACAGTCACTACCACTTGATACCTAGGATACGTCAGCGTTGTGAGCAGAAGGATTTCCGTTTGGTGAGAATGCTTGCTTACCCAGCGTCCAGCAGCTCTGTCAGAATGTGCGAGGCGATGAAGCCTGTGCCACCTACATATCCAGGAAAGTTGGTTCATCTGCTGCAAAAGCATGGCAATAGTGGATTCCACTGACCTGTAAGTAGTACCTTTTTCACGAGAGAACCCATCGTGAGCAGCCAGTGAACAAGTACAGAGCTTCTGGTTGTGTGTGTTTCCTGCTACAGGGCGATACTGTCTAAAAAAGGGTTGAAATATATCACTGCTCATGGCGGTGTGGGGAAGTTCCATTTTCAGCTCGGACAAAATATTCTGGGGTGAGCAGTCGTGAAGGATGAACTGTCAGAGATCGCTGCATATGCTCGGATACCCAAAGACATGGCAAGTCCGTATGAGAAACTCCGGGTGTGCCCGATCTGTTGCCCATTTATCCATTATCCTATTGGATGTCCGCGGGAAAGCAACAATTAGGAGGGCTATAGTAGAAGATCATATAGACCCATAGAAATAAGTGCATTATCCATACCTACAGTAATCGCCTCCAGCTCGGGCCCTTCGACCCAGAAGCCGAGTTCGTCAGTAAGAACCAAAGCATTGAACGGTTCCAGATCCGAAAAGAAGACCTCAGTCGGTACGGGCTTATCCTCGGTAAACTGCCAGTACTGCAGGTCTACAGCCACATCATGCTTTCTTTTGCCATGCCCGAGGGGGTGTCACAAGACACTATCATCGCCGATCCCGAGGCTGCAGTGCGCCAGATCCGATCCCATGTGCCCTGGATGGCCGGCAAAGTTGTTAATGTTGGTAAAGGCCCGGGAAATCTAGAGCGATATGTTGTTGCTCCACGCCCACCCCCAGATCCTCTGATTGTGGTGCGCGACTTCGCACGCCTTCCCTCTTGATTCGGAAATTCAATGTGTAAAGGCACCCATTTCCCATATTAGACTCGCGTCTACTATCCCCAACAAATGCCTTTCCCCCGCGCTTCAAGGATTTTGAAGAGGACACGTTTCGGGTAATCCGCCTTCAGACCAGCTTCGTCGAAGGGGGGAGTCTGAATAGACTTTGTCACCCAGCATAACATGACCGATGCAGGCGGCCTTTTCGGCTTTGCCCGCCTGGTCTCCGTGGCTATGTGGGAAGAACAGTTTTCCGACTCCCTCTTAGAGCAGGTCAATCGCGATCGACACAGCCTCATCCCGCTTTCGAGCCCGGGTGAACCCATATTAGATCACTCCCACCATACCCGTCTCCCAATCACCGATGCGCAGCCCGTCGTGCGCCCTGATCAGCCCAGTGGCATTTTCTTGCGCTTTACCGCTGCCAATATGGCTGAGCTGAAGGTCGTCGCTAGTCAGTCTATGACCCCAGACCCATATGTGCCCTACAGTACAACCGATGATGCCGTCAGTGCTTTCTGTTGGAAGAAGTACATATCAATTCGGCATCGGCGATGGAACACGCCAGGCGCGCGCTCCCCGTTCTCGCGAGCCATAGACGGCCGAGAAGTACTAGGGGTTCCGGCTCGAATGTATGAGGGATCCGGTTCACAATGTCACGACTTGACTCACATCCCAGGAGCTGGTTGATCTCCCGCTTGGCGAAGCTGCTCGCCACATGCGCCGTGAACTGAACCGGGCGAATACCGCTTACCATGTGTGGAGCTTTGCGACATTCATCACGCAGAAGCCTGACGAATCTACCATTGCGGTGGGCGCTTCAACCCAAACACGGACGTGGGATCCTCATCGGTGCTACGCGTGGATCTGTTCTCGATGTTTGGAAAGCTCGGGGGACCTGACTTTCCTGGCATCCAATTTCTCAGTCTGTTGTACTTTCCTTCGCAGAATCCTCGTGGAGACTGTGACTTGTTAACTGACTGATGCTGATATGGAGGCTTCAAATCAGAGCCTGGAGTAGACTTCCATGGTTTAGTACATTGGGTAAAAGGCACTTCACAAAACTCCGATTCAGGGCTTGTTGAAACTCCGTGTGGTAGAGTAGTAGGTAGCCAGTCAAGAACTGTCAAGACCATTATCATCTCGTATCTCACAGACAAGCAAGAGCTCACTAACCATTGTTCAAGTAAGTCTGGCGCGTGGAATGTTTCTCTGCCCCCACCTAGCAGGTGGCACCCATGTGGCATTTGTATCTAGACCTAGGCCTACAGCTTTAGCCGCAACCTCTGTTTTTTTATATTCATAAGTCCCCTCTTCCTCCACGGGACTGGCACTAACGCCCGCATCTACCACGGCCAATGCAGGGTCTCAAGCACATTGCTAAGCCCTCACATCCGGCTCAGCTTCGCGGAAGCTCCCGTCCCCTCCCAGCCAGGGCCGGACGTAGTGTCCGTCTATAGACACTTCGGTGACTTCAAGGGCTGGATCCCGATGCCGCTGGATCCCTCAATCTCACCCACCATCGTTGCAGAAAAGATCATTAAGTCCCTCCGTCGGACAAAAGAAGATGACGATCGTTCAGGTGCAAATGGGTGTGGGTTTCCGTGTTTGGATTCAGTCAGGCCGCCAGACTAGCTGCTAGTCTGCTCTTCCAGAAACGGGACTAGGCTGGTCGGAGGGTATGGTGAAATCATCTTTCGCTTCGCTGTCTTGTTTGCCGGGAGGGACCCGATGATTTCTGTTGATGTAAATGCTATGACGTCGGTGCCTTCGGCAGTCTTATCTTTGCCTACGATACATATCCATGGGCTGCAGGATGTTAGAATACCATCGTAAGCTTCTGGAGAGGTAATGCGATCATCAGGAGGCTTCTTTGATCGAATGGGAGGGGAATTATCGGGTGCCCATCAAATTGAAGGATGCTCGTATGGTGATGGAGGACATTTTGAGGGTTGCGCAGAAGATAGGTTCCGTAGCACCTTCGGCGATGCAAGGGGGGATGGCATCTTGATGGCGGCGCCATCCCTTTGAATCGTTAAGGGATGGATTTTGCATTGCCCTTCATATAGGACTGGATTGAGCCGCCCTCGTGGTAGACAATCTACTGATATACTCTGAAAATTGCTCATAGGCGACAAATCTTATGGCTGATCCGTAGAATGCTTGTTTGTGGTAGCTCCAGATCAATCCTGCATGTGTGGGGTTTGACTGTACACTGTTCATTTCCGTCTTCCTTCGCAATTTATGCACAATGGCCAATATTGTTGTCACGGTGATTTAGGATGAGATAGGCTACATACACTTCACCATCTGATTTTACTGGGAGAACTCTGTTTCTGTCTACTCACGACGTGGCTCCACAATGTCTTGCCGGTCATCCTCATTGTTATAAGATGGACGATTGTTCAATGGTCGCATACTGATGAAGCACGCTTGGTAGTCTTCTTCTGTGCCATTTAACCTCTCTGTATAAGAAAAATAACAGTAAGAAAGTGAGAATAATTAAAGGCAAGAACTTTTGGTCCACAATTCCTGCACATTTTGAGTAGATGTTGTTGGTTGTGGGTTGGTTGATGTGCCATTAAAAATCATTTGCAGGTCGGGCGGCGGCAAGGAAAAAAAGATGGTCCCAGAGGGGCTCGAACCCTCGACTTTGACGTTATTAGCGTCACGCTCTAACCAACTGAGCTATGGGACCCAGTTGATATATGTTCGACTTTTCTATAACCTTAAGAAGGAACACGGATCTCACGCAGTTGAGATTCGTTCTACCCTGAACTCACCACCATGGCGACCCAATAGTAAGTAACAATGCCACGATTATGGTATCTTTTTAAGTCAAATAAATTCGACAAATATATTGTGCACTGAGTTTATCTAGCTTTAACAGTAACATGCGTGAAATCGATTCGTCATTATGAGTGTCTATCGAATCATGGTGTTCAGATATATATTTGAGCGGCATCAGACAATGAATCTATGGATATTATTTCCATCACCCTCATAGTAGACACACATCGAAGGTTCCCGGTCAAGTCAATACGCCGAGGGTAATTACCATTAACACCTATTTTTCCCATTCAAATCTCAAACGTTAAGGATCTAGGATATGGTTGCTGCCTATTCAGAATGATACCACCCGAACTCCGTGTTGCACAACCAACAGCAGACATTTCGAGCCAACACTGACAATGGGATACGGACCACGATGCCTAGGAATGCACACGCAAGCTCGTCAAGTAGTATCAAGTTTCTAAGCTACTGACAAGGTGACATCGGTCGTTGTATCAAAAAACACTGGAACACCGACGATCCCTCCGGACCATAGCCCTCTGCCCAAGCCATCCCTATTTTCGAGGAATGTCACCACGTTTGACGCCTCTCGCCATCGGGACCCCAAATGATTCATCTCCTGGCTTGGGACCAACAAAAGTATAAAAAATAAATCATGTTACGGACACTATCGCGGAGTAATCTGGTCTTCATCTCCACCACGATGGTTCCTGGCACATGGCAGGCCACGCGACTCCATAGGTGGATCCGCATCCTGCCGCAACGTGTCGGAAGGCTTTGTTCCACGTGGGCATTAACAATGAACGATATACATCGTATGGCGCGTAAATATGGGATGGCTGTAGGTGCCCCATGGTGTTCTATGTATTCCTGGGTGTTTTGACGTATGTATGTTTGGTATGTTTGGTATGTTTGGATTACCGGTATGTAATAGGTTACACACGGTATGTATGTATGTAACGTATTACGATTCAACCATCTCCCTTGTACTACCCACCCAAGCAAGCTAAACGCCGAAGGATCCGACCTGCAGATGCAGGGAGCTGAAGCTGCACCTGGATGATCAAAGCAACAAGAGCTAGTGAGGCTTCTGTCTACATCGAAGCGGCGAAACGCCGCCCGAGTACCGAAGGTAACAACAGGACGGGCCATGCTGACAGTGGCCCAGAGTCATTGAGCAGCAGAATTGCTACCCTAGTTTCTGACATTGCACTCTTTTGTCATCTGTGTCCATCATACGACCGAAAGTCACTCATCCTAGCAAGTACACACACTGCCACCATAGTCATTCTCAAGGCACAATGGACACGTCGACCATTCTCAACTCGATAACCTGGCAAAACACCCTCCTCTTCGCAGGAGGGGCTTACATCCTCCTCAATCTGAAAGGCCTCCCTTTCGTCTGGCATGTTCGTTTCCCTTACTCTTACCCTCAATCCACGCATCTCTCAACCCAATTGCTCATACAACACACCCCCCCATACTAACCAAAGAATCAAAAACAGATTCGCCTCCTCAACTGCCTAAAAGAACACATCATCCTCAACCGCGCCCGCAAAGTGGATATAACCACCCATGGCCCCCAATCCCTCTTCTACCCAGTCATTACGACATCATCCACCCCGCTCCTAGAGATTGACTACAATATGCACAAGTCCAACGCAACCTATTTTACCGACCTAGACATCAACCGTGTGCATTTGATCTCTAGTTTATTCAAGGACCAGCTCGCGCTAGGCTTTTCGGGTGGGGAGCTTAATATTGCTCTTGGATCCACGGCATGTGTCTTTAAAAGGGAGATAAAGCCCTATCAGACGTATGAGATCCATACGAGAGTGTTGAGCTGGGATGAGAAATGGGTATATTTTGTTAGTCATTTCGTCAAGACTGGCGGGAAGAAAGACAAAGGGGAGGTAGTGTTTGGCGGCAGTTCGACGGGTGTGAAGGATGAGAAGAGTATCTTGGCATCTGCTGTCACGAGATATGTTTTCAAGAAGGGGAGGATATCAGTTAGTCCGGAGACGGTGCTCTCGCGGGCTGGCTTGTTGCCGGAGAAGGGGGTTAAGATGAAGGATGGGTTTTGGTCATGGGAGAGGGTTGAGGAGGAGAGGAAGAAAGGGTTGGATGTGGCGAGGTCGTTCCTTGCGTTGGATGGGTTGCATGCAATGTTTAGGGGCGACGGGAAGGCCATTGGGGTGTTTTGATGGGAGGTCGACGTGACCGATAGACATAGATGGCTTGAGTACCTGGTATTGGTCAAAAGCACCATAGAATTTGGAGGACATAGATAGAATGGCTTGGAGCTCGAGGAACGTGGACATGGCCAACTTAGTGATCAGTGAGTTACATGCATTGTAGGCGTAATTCAACTCTCAATGGACTGTCTGACATGCTGTTCTTTTAAATGTAGCTACATAGTTGCGCGGACTGAGGTCAATATGTGGTAACGTGGTTTAATTTAGTCTTATTTCATATTGCTGATCTTACTAACAGACCGCAGAGGACAAGGAAAATTGGACATAGAATGATATAATCAACTAGTTAAGTATGATATTGAACATTCTGGTATCAACAACGCCAAAACCATATATAAACCAAATGCAACTATGCAACGACAACCTCCGACGACCGAGCGACCTTTTCCAACCCGCGCTCAGCATCTATATACCCTTGCCACTGGGAACGACAAAGTTAGAATTTGGAAACCTAGATAACAAAGGTAATCAACTCACCTCTGCCAAAACCTTCGCAATAATTGGCGACTTTGTTAACCGGAACACCTGCCGGAAGTATTCCTCGCTAACTTCAAATGGCCGCGCCGTCAGGTTCGGGATGTACTTGCCTACCAGACGGTCCGCACACAAAGTATCTTTGTCAATGTACTTGTAGAGACATGCACGGAAGGCTGTAATGCCTGGGCTAAGGAAGGATGAGTGGAAGGGCACGTCGATTCCTCGGAGCGGCACGGTGGCTACGCCACGCTCGAGCTGAATGGGTTGGGGCTTGGCTTTGGCGGCGCTGGCGCATTGATGGAGAGCGTCAAGCACGCTGACGCGAATCTCCTCGAGAGGCTGGGTACCATGGAGGATAGCCTCGAAATCAGATTGATGGCGCTTAATTTCGCCGATCAAAGAGGAGAGGGTGTCGAGGGCTCGAAGCTAGGATGCATTAGCAGGCCTTTTATAAGCAGTCCAAGTTATTGACTTACATCACCCGCGCAGACGTATTGAGAATTAATGACGTTGTAATTTACGATTTCAAGCAGCCATCCAGTTTCGCTGGCAATCAGCGATACCAGGTACCGCAGGCGGTCTTCGTTGAATGCTAGAAAGAGAGTCAACAAACAGTCACAGAAAGCGGCAAAGGGACATACACTTCGATAGTCGACTGGGGTCGACCGCGCACATGGAAAAGTTTGACCTTCCTTGCTCGTCGCGTTCGACTGCCATCTGCATTGTCAGACCGCGGTAGAAAACCACAGATACCAAACTCTCAATAGGCATAATTTCGGCAATGGCTGCCAAGGCAGAGTATTCCCCCAGAGAGTGACCAGCAAAGCTGCAGTGATCTGCCAACAGCCCCTTATCTTTCATGTCTTCAATGATAGCCTTCTCCATGAGGGTGAGTGCTGGCTGGGTGAACTGGGTGGAAGAGAGAAGGCCGGTGCTGGATCGGAAGGTGTGTGACTTAGTATCCTCTGTGATGTCCTTGAAAATCTTCTCCGATGTTGTCCGCCCATCTGCATGGATCATCTCACAGCGAAGGGCCATGTAATTATCGCGGATCGCTCGTCCGCGAGCACCGCCGAAGTGGATCTTGAGTTCTTTAGGGTCGTTTCGGACAATGTCGGTGATACGGAAGCCTAGACAGGTTTAGAAATGTAGTCATGTGGATGGAAACATACTCACCGAAGTTCTCAAGGAAATGCTTGTCGGCTAGGTCCCACACCTTCCGCGCTGCAGGGCTAGAGGCATAAAGTTCCATGCCCATTCCCTTTTCTTGGCTGCCTTGGCCAGTAAACAGGAAAGCACTGCTGGGCTGCTCAATTTCAGCTTCCGCTATAATCAGCTTGTCTCCAGTACCGGCACGTCGGGCCTCTGCATGCACTAGCTTCCGTCCGTTTACCATGCCAATGTGTTGCAGGACCAGCTCCACATCGTCCTCTGGAAGAACCATTCCAACAAAGTTGCAGTTATAGCGCCTAAAGCCACCAGGGTTTCCTGGGGCAACCAGCTGCTCAAGCAAGCTACGAACCCTTGCGCTCATGTGCATGCCGTGAGTGATGGTGTCCGGAAGATCTGCATAGGCGGCAAAGGTCTTGGACACATGGATCGGGTTATAGTCGCCGGAGACAACGGCATATTCTTCATTAAATGAGGGAGACTTGAACTGGATGTCGCCGCCGCCAAGAGTGATTGGTGATTGGAATAAAACTGGCTGCTCGACCACACTTCCATGGCGCTTGAGATAATCCATGATGGGGTTGCTAGTTGAGACGCCGACTGTGTAATCAATGTAAGCTACCTCGAGGACCTCACCGGTCGGAGACCGACCGTAGACATGACCGAAACACCTTTGTTGGCGGTAGAGCGACTTGCTTTGAAAATGGGCATGTGTCTCCAGCTCGAATGTGAGCTTATAGCCCCGAAGGTCTAGGTCTCTGTCGCTAGACACAAACCACGGCTTGGAGTGAAGCACTGCCACATCTTTAACAGTTGTCAGTTGGAGCTCAAACTTGGTCTCTTTTGTCTGCCGAAAGGCTATGTCGTAGTCGTTATATGATCCGCGGTACATGAAGCGGCTAACGACCTCCACTATATCCACATCATCTCTAGTGATGAGGGAAGAAACCTCCACAACCTTGCCTGAGTCTTCATTCAGAATGGCTCGGATGTGTGCTCTGGAAGAAAGAACATCACCATCCCGGATGGGTTTTGAGCTTCCTAGCCTGCGGAATTGGTTGGATAGGTGGACTAGTTTCATAAGGTTACCGCTGATACCGTTGGTGAACAATGGCTTCATGACCGATTTCCAGGCAACAACGATTGCATAGTCCATAGGGGCATCCATTCTCTGCTGACTCCTCGAATGAGACCCCGATGCGGATGTACTGCCAATGCAGTGACTGAATCTTCTGATATCATCCGCTGTTACAGTAACGACATCACCGTGGAATTCATCTTCATGTGAGGGACCACCAGGAGATCTGAGCGGCTCACCGAACCAAAGTATATGATAGAAATCCTTCACTCGCTCAATCTTGTCAGAGAGAATCTCTCGAATAGGCGCAAACGGGAACTCGGGATGGTAGCTAAATAGAAGCTCGAGACCTGCCGGTGCTCCGGTGACAGTGCGATTTTCGAACAGCGTGGCCTTGATGATGTCCTCGCTAACAGCACGCACCTCAACAACCAAAGTCTGCAGCGCATCCGCTGCTCGCTCGAAAAGCCGAACGACCGACTGTTCGGTAGATGTGCACTCCTCTACTTCAACGTAGGTGTTGTTCCGAGGAGCGAAGACTCGCCTTACGGGGTTATCACACAGATTGTGTCCTTGAACGATAGACTTCTGCGAGAAAAGTGCATGTCTCCAGCCCTTCTGCGTACCAGCCAGTCGTCGCATCCAGCTCTCCAACGAAGGCAGCTCATTACCGGAAATCGTAGGGTCGAATGTTCTGGTCAGGGATATTTCGCTCGGCACTTCACTCATACCTCCTTCGGTCAGAGGTGTCAGAGGTTGCTCGTTGTCATATCCCAGCACCGTGAGGGACTTGACCCACTGAGAGTGGATGCCATCCAGCAGATGCTTGATCGGCTCGTTTGGCACCGTAGTGTGCTTGGCGGCGACAGGCCCATGCAGAATGCAGGTCCTGCCAACATCCTGGCCCGGCACTGCCTGAACGTCTTCCGACTGCCACAGCGAGTCTTTCTTGAACCACACCTCAAAATCCTCATCGAGGACAGGAATAAATGGAACAGGCTTTTGACCACGGCGCCGGCACAAATGGATGAACATCTGAGTACTTGGTACATCCATCAGCTCCGAGGTTGCTCTAGCATGCCTGATCAAGAACTCTTCAATGGCCGTGTAGGGTTCATCGATTTGTTCAACTGCCCGCCAAAACCGGGACCCGTAATTGCTGTGCATCTCGCCAACAATATCCTCGAGCCATTGAAGAAAGTCGAATGTCAACTGCTGCAGACTGGGATGTATCCAGCGAGCCTGATGCTTGATGTAGAGTAACTCGACCATTCGCCACACAACTGCAGACAGTGTCATTTCGTTCAATTCGCAGGGCTTACCATCTGCATCCTGTGCAAACCACACTTTCTGGAAATTCTTGTTGAGGCCGTCAATAATGCGCTTCTTATTCTCCTGTAAGAAGGCAACTCTTGCTTTCTTGTCTGCAATGCTAAACACAGTTCGGTCCATCTCAGCCCAGAAGAGGACCCCCCGGGTGGCGATTTTGTGAATTGGCTCGCCCATTTCGGACCGGACGGTAATGATTCCTCCAGTAGATCGTGTATAGGTCTGGTCCCAGACTGCATCATCGGCACCAGGGATATCTACAATCAACTGCTTGGCCTCGGGGCTGGTGTGAGCCTCCTTGACTGTCATCACTCTACTACCGAGTAGGATCCCGTCGAATGGCATGAGGGATGGTGCATTGAAGGCTTTGCTCCACTCTCCAGTCAAGTAAGGCAGGGTATCGTCGGCAGCACCAAAGCCGCTACCAGCGACTAGGATGATATTTTTGCACGCTCTGATGCGACCATACGTCTCCAATATGGGGGCGTGAAAATCCTCATAGGAGTGATGTCCACCTCCTCTGCCACCAGTCCACTGAAGTATAATTGGGAAGGACTTGTTCACGCGGGCGATGTCGATGACCTGCTGGATTGCCTCCACAGAGCCGGGCTTAAAGGCAATGTGCTTTAGGCCAAGCGTCTCGATATACTCATTGGCCACGTCGACAGAGGGAACACCCGCTCCAATGGTCATTCCATCAATCGGGACGCCCTTGGCACGGAGCTCCTGTAGCAGGGGAATCTGCCAGCGGACGGAACTGGGGCTCGCATAAATGATATTGCATGTTACTCCCCGCCCTGGGATTCCATTTTGCACGATCTTGTTGATCGCTTCTTTCATGGCATCCTTGCTGTAGTATCCCCCTCCAGCAAGCTCGATATGGTAGCCAGCGTTCATGGTAGCAGAGACAAAGTCCCATGGCACAGTAGTCGGCGTCATACCAGCAACCATGATAGGAGGAAGCCCCAGCAACTCGCTGAGCTTGGTTTGAACAGTGACCTTACCCGTTGCGTCTCTGACCAGGCGTGGCCTGTACGCCTCTGCCCAATTATCAGCATAAACGACGGGGTAGTCGGAGTAACGATTGAAGAGCTCTGCCTTATTTCCGTACTCCTCGCTATGCTTCATAGAACTACCAAGTATCAAACGAACACCCTGGCCTGCCTTATTATGCATGGTGACAGCCCCCACACCGGCGCTGCCGCCCGGACCGAAGTCGATGATATGAGTAGCATCTGGAAGAGAGGTTGCTTTCTCCCAGTGTACTGGCTCGCGTGCAATCATGCTCACGACATCACCGATGATATTTCTGTCTTTGTGAATGCGCATGTCATGGCCATCGGTTGTAGCGTAAAGAGGAATGCGCAGCTGGTTACCTGTGATGTTGATATCCGCGAGATCGTTCATTACCAAACGGACGACCTCATCCAGATACATGCTATGGAATGGTGCGGTTATGGGTAGGAAGCGATGCTCAATCTTAGGTTTCCGCTTGCTGGCCGGGATCTGTGCCTCGCGACTGCTCTTTGATGGTTTCAAGCCACGTAGGTGCCGGCTCAACCCATACAGACTAAGAGGCGGCCCGGTCACAACAAGATTTTGAGGACCATTGAAGAGGGAAATAGCAACATGGGATTGTTCCGGAAGGTAGCTATTGACTGTGTCGATGATCTTCTGTAGCTGACCCGGTCGAAGGTTTCGTACCCTGAGCATGGGACCAGGTGTCCCTTCTCCGTTGTCTTCTGCATCCCGTATAACTGATTCGGGGATGAACTGGGGAGGGAATATTTCGTGACTGCGACAGGAGATGAAGAAGAGAATACGGAGGGCTTCGAGAGAGTGTCGGTAGAAGTCTTCCCACGTATCTGAGACAGAAGTTACGAGGGCTACGACAATCCCCTGTGAATGACCTGACACGCCGGACAGATAACCATGCATTTCTCGCGGCGAGAGTCCCATTGTTTGACAAGCCACGATGAAGTGACACATTTGGAGGAGACCAATTAGGGGCATGCTGACGGGGGCAGAAAGAAGATACGCCGACTCTGGCTCAGAGTCGGTCTTCTCTAGCCAGTCCATGAGCGAGAAGCCATGTTGGAAATGAGGCTTAAATGCGGGCGCACCAGCGAGCTCTTCTAACAATCTGGCCCCGGAGAAAACACAACGACGGAGGATGTCGGTGTACGTCGCGTATGTATCTTTCAGGTCCTCGAAATATTTCTCATCATTCCCCTGACCTCCGAATATTGCGTATATACGTGACGGTCCATCTGTAGCGGACTCGAGGAGGAGAGAAGGTTGACGTCTAGACTTGCGACTGAGGGTACCGTATGCAGCAAAGTATGCTTTGATTATGGGGGTCTTATGTTGAATATCAAGCTGCGACAGAGCGGAGTGGATATCATTTCCACCAAGAAAATCTTGTTCATAGCTCTCTAAGAAAGCTTCAAGCAACTGCAGTATTGCCGCGGCGTCGTCGCAATGTGTGTCGTCGCTAGACCGGGTGATGCAGAAGTTGATGAACTCGGCGATAAGTCCTTCTTTGGTAGATAAGTCGTTCTCTGGCGAAGATGAAAGTAAATTCAATATGAAGTCCTTCCATAATTGATTTGCCAATGGTAGCTGCAATGCAGGTAGGGATATTCTCGTATCAACAGATCCATATGCAATGATCAACGGCCGTTTGTCGCCGGCGACAGAGGACGGCCGAGAGATCTCGGGAGTGAGGCCCGCGAATTCCGAGCCCAAACTCGACAACGGCGTCTTGACAGTCATGGTGATAAAATGAAAGGAGAGGTGAATTGGCTGTGCTCCAGAGATCGGGTGTCAGAACAGTTGCCCTTTGAAGTGATATATCACACCACTCACTGTAGCACGGGGAGATAAGCCTGGCAATGGGGTCATCTCACGATAACGAAGGGGGCCAAATCGGAGGTCTCGGTCCGGAGAAACAATGGTGGGCGACCCAGGAACACGGGTGAAGCATAAAGATAATTTGCAGCGTAAAAGTGCCTGTTCCAGGATCCGACAAGGCGGAGCTGAATCGGAGGCTGTATACGTGCGGTGATGATGATCTTGACGTTCCTTACAGGATCGTATTGTTCGTAAACAGTAATACCACATGTCACAAGTATTACATACGCATACACAGCAAAACCAAACCGCGCTAGACGTGCCTTACTAGTGTATCAATTGTATCGCCTGAAGTGTCAAATCTAGTGGAACCGGGCAAAGCATGGACACATCCCTCCGGGGTGATCCTAACCTATCATCGAGGGAGGATCGCTGCTCATGAGTCAGGAACTGAATCCTTTACGGGAGATCCTCCTATTGCGGATGCAGCCGGCTGTCGGATCCTGTTGGATGGAATTATCAGTCCCTGAGGTCATCTCCGAGACGAATGCAGAGACCAAGATTGATACCGATACCGACACATCGACGAAGGCAATCATCCTGGAACATTCCAGCCCCAAGGCACGCGGGCTTCGAAACGTGGCACGCACGTGTCTTAGCTGCTGCAATATAGTAGTAGCATATTCTCGTGAAACTCTATTTCCGAGCCTATGGTGCCACCGGGGCTGCAGCGCTTAATTCTCTATCGTCGCTGATAAGCAGGTGACAGAACTTATTGGTTGATGCGAATATCGTAGAACCGGGAGTAGTCATTTCAACTCAGACTCCACGGCGGATTTGCTTGGCAGGAGTGCCAGAGACAGCCAGTAGCTGAGCCATTCACCCACCTCGGACATCAGTCAGAAGTCAGCAGTACATCCAACCTCCATTTGCGGGTTCTGACCGATATGGGAAGCTAATGCCGCGACTGCTGAACAGAATCGTGATATTACCAAGCTGCTTTAGTGTCCGGTGACACCAGCACACCCTAACATGAAGTCGAGCCCCGTGAGGACCCCTGACTAGCTATCAATCATGGTATCGTAGGAGCAATCCATACGATTTAGTTGAAAGTTAGTCAATGAAATGAAATTACTGCGGGTTTGAGAGGGAATCAAATACGCCACCCACTTTATTCTCTTCCTAGAACATGCTCTCTTGTGCACTTCTCGAAGTCCAATAAAAAGTATACATTTCCACATCATCGGTTGATGATTGTAATATAGACCTTTTCTGCCCTGAAAATGAAAAGTGCATACAACCACTATGCGACAATCGAGCGAATAGCCCTAGCGATACCCTCCGGATTTTCCAACGGAATCAAATGCTTCACGCCCTTGAAAACCTCAAACTGCACCTCAAAGCCCCTTTGAGCCAGCGCCCCAACGACCTCCTTCTCAATTCGATCCTTAATCTCAACAATATCCTCCGATCCAGCCAGTACACTCACCCTAACCTTCCACCCTTCCAGCCGAGTAGAGACCTCATCCAAAGCAGATGTAATATCCTCCTGCATGCCATGTAAAATCCACCCGTCCCGAGCAAGAGTACTTCCCGCCAAACTATCCCTAATGGCCATGTTCATATCGTCACTCGAAATATTCTGCACACTAGACAGAACATTCTCGACCGTCCACCGAACAGAGGCTTCGTTATCATATGCTTTGCGTTGTTGCTCGCTCATCTCAGCGGGCAGGATCAGTGGTGTTGGGGGTGCCGGGGCGACGAGTACGAGGCCCTTAATGAGGGATAACAGGCTGTCGGAAAGCTTCGAAAGAGTAGCTAGGGTGACCTTCGCTCCCATGGAGTGACCGATCAGGATCACGCCGTTGTCGACGAGGGAGGTGGTGCTCTGGAGGTGGGATAGCACCGAGGCAACGTCCAATGCCATGGGAGTAATGGAGTAGTCTTTTGAGCTGTCTGCGGGTCCTGTGGATTGCCCCCAACCGCGAAGGTCAATAGCGACTGTGTTGTATGCGTTGCCGAGGGTGTGTGGGGATGTAAGTGAAGTTTGCTTGTGCCATGTTGAGCTGGAACCGCCCCAGTAGTGGAGGAAGAGAAGAAGTGGCGTAGATGATGAGGAAGACTGAGCTTTGGTGATGGTGAAATGGATGTTGGTATCTGGGCCGGTGCTGAGATGGTGAGACTCCATGATATTCGATGCTTCGATGGTTCGGAATACGGCTATATTGATCTGATGAGGTAGGAAGTGGAAACGAAGAAGCAAATATACTCCAAATCTGGAGAGAAATCCTCCTTTCTATGCTCCACCGTTGGGCGACGTGGCATGATAAGCCGGAATGGTTAATCCGGAAGTATTTGGAATTATGAAGGAATTAATTCCGTTTAGTGAGTCACTGCTCCATAAGCAGAGTAGGATTGCTAAAAGCATCTAGGAGACAAAGGAATGCAACAGAAGAAGTGGGAAACGATGTCATTGGTATAATGCCGGTGCTGTAAGCCACTCAGCGGCAATACGTGGACCGAACCAAACATCACTGAGCACATCCAGTCACGGTGTATTAAGACAACGGTTGAAATATAACTCCCTGTAAGCCTCAACCAGCAGAAAGTAGCACTTAGACATACTCCTGGCTATATCTTGAGCCATGACTTCTCAGGGTCCATGTCTGTGGTGGTGGAAGTAATGGTGCTTCTCCCGTAGAGTTGGCTGAAGAGGCCATTCTCGGCCAGCAAGTCTTTCGGAGCGCCACACTCGACAACGCGTCCATTCTCAATGACAACTACTTTGTGGAAATCAAGAATGGTATGGAGTCGATGAACAACTGCAATAACTGTGCAGCCTGCGAATGCCGTCCGGATGAGACGCTGCATGAGTGCGTCAGTTTCGGGGTCGACACTGTTTAGTAGAATGTTAGCTATTATTGACCACAACGCACATTGATAATAACAACTCAACAAAGTGACAAACTTACCTACTAGTCGCTTCATCCAATACAACAACTTTGCTCTTCCTCAACATAGCAGCAGCTAAGCGCAAAAGCTGCTTCTGCCCCTGCGAGAAACTGTCTTCTTGCACCTGGCCGTCCAAGCCGCCAAGTTGTGTGGACACGATGTCCCACAGTTTGACCTCTTTTAGCACATTGGTAATACTTTCCTCGGATTCTTTCCCAAGTGGATCTATGTTTTGTCGTACAGTGCCGGGAAGGATGGTCACTGCCTGGGAAATACATGAGAGAGACGATCGGATGTCCTGGCAAGAGATAGAGCCAAGGTCTAATCCGTCGATAGTAATTTGACCATTGTCGGGTTCGAGAAGGCGGAAGAGGAGTTGGACTAATGAACTCTTGCCACTTGATGACCTTAGTACTATCTCATAAGAGCCTGCAAGAGGGACAAAGCTAACACACCTGCCACTAGGACCGCAAACAGCGACCATCTCACCAGCTGAGATTGACAATGTCACGTCACTGAGAATCGGTTCGCTATCGGGTCTGTGTACCGGTTAGTACTTAGGAGTAACAATGTGAGTGGAAAGTACCTATAAGACGCAGTAACATTGAAGAACTTAATGTCACCCCTCTCCGGCCAGCGCGTCGGAACTTCAATATGTCCCTCCGGCCTATCCTCAGGTTGAACATCATCCTGAAACTGTCTGACACGCGACACTGCTCCGATCGATGTTTCTAGGACAGTCCAATTTGAAATAAGTTGTTTCAGACTTTCGCTCACGTTAATAATATTCAGCAGTCCCAGTCCCGCAGAACCAGCTCCAATAGAACCAGGAGCGCCGACTGCGATTCCAACAATCAACGTTGCCATTCCTGCCACAACCATGTCAAGGACGAGGGTGAGCCATCTCTGGATAACGAAGAGCAGGTAATACGGCCGTTGCGATGCATCTGTTAATCCGCAGATATTGTTGAGAAAATTAGTCTGCCATCCGAAAGCGCGAATGGTTACCAGTCCGTTCACGGTCTCCATGAAGTTGGAATAGAGGGGAGATTTGGCTTCTAGTTCCATGAACCGTAGCTGGCGTGAAGTTCGGAGATAAAACTTTTGCAGAAAGTAGAAGACTGCAAGGCATAGTGGGATGATGGCTGCAAGGTATTTTCCAGTGATGAAAACTATTAGCAGCTGTGCTATTGCAGACATGAGGGCTGGCTAAATGTTAGTGGCGTTCTGTATGGGAGGGCGACATTCTGGACATACCAACGCTCGTCTCAACAAGAGCAAGTGGTAGCTCCATATCCACTAGTTGCATGTCTTGACTGAACCTAATGCGCCTGTAAGCTTCATGTCAAAGTACAGCGATGGCTATCTTACTTGTTCGTAGTCACGCCAGAATCCGTCGTATTAAAGAAAGATATCGGAGCGCTGCAGAAGTTAGTAGGGCTATGAGGGGAGGGCAGTGGACGTACTTCAAAACAGTGCGAAGCAGAATCTTATGCAATCTTCTTGACGCCCGGGGGATCATATTGCTCATCATATGCGTACTTCGTGTCAGTTTTAGCCTTGTCCATGGTGAAGATAAATACTTATCAGCATCCCAGAAACAATGACAGTTCCGCCATAACTGCTAGAAACGCATACACGCCCAAATACATGCCAAGGTCCTTATATGGGTGCCTTTCGTTTGCAGCAGCCCACCACTGGACCCATACACCTGCGAATGTGAGCTTAAATCAGATAAAGCGGATTACAGTACCTACTCGGAAATGCCAAACTGAATGTGAAGATTGCGACCGCGATAAAGAATACCACAGAGTTGAGTATTCCAACCATTTCAAGATAGTACTTATAGATCGTCACATCGCCTGTCCGACGGCTAGCATCAGATGTTTCAAGCTGCGCGGCAAGTTCGTGCGGTACATCGGGATTGGACTGTCTCACAATCCAGCTCAGTCTTGCATCGCTCATTATGGGCTCTGGGAGGAAGTCTCCTCCGCTAGGGCCGGGGAGGCTGGAAATAATGGAATCCTCCTTTTCTGAGAAACGGACTTTGCTATCGAGCGTGATGGTGTAGTCTGCGGAGGAGGTAAGGCGAGCTTTGAGATCAAGGTTAGTTTCTAATATTCTCCAGGATGTCTAAATAGATTACTTACTGGAATGGGTTGCAAGGATGGTGGTTAGGTTGTGTTTCCGACAAAAGCCACCTTGACCGAACAGCCGAGCTATCACTAGCTTCTCTGTGTCCGCATCGAACCCACTAAATATATCATCGAGGAGCAACAAGGGCTGTCGTGAATAAAGCGCCCTAGCAAGTGCCTGTCAAGGTAGTTATCAGTGTCTCGTAATTTAGAGCTCCAGATACTTAAGTAACCTACAACACGATGCTTCTGGCCGCCGCTCAATGACAGTCCTTTACTTCCCACAACCGTCTGAACACCTAACGGCATCGACCTCAGGTCTTGTCTCAAGCCAGAAGCCTGCGTAACCTCCCGAAACCATCGCGGCTCATAAGTCGCAGGGCCAAGGATATTACTGAGAATAGTTCCGTTCTGCAGCCACGGATCTTGACCACAGAATGCGGCAGACGAGTAGCGACACCTCATGTACCCTTTGGTCACGGCTGTCTCGCCCCTCAGGCCAGCTAACAAAGTCGACTTCCCACAGCCAGTTGGGCCTGTAATGATCGTAAGCGTAGACGGTCGGATTTTGAAAGTCATTCGTTTCACGACCGGCTCACGAGTAGATACCCATCCCACACTCCAGTTCAACGCCTCGACTGCATTCTCCATTTCTGTAATCTTCATTTCCATGTCTCGGAGGTTGTCCATTTCTGGGAAGAGGGTCTGTTCGGAGGTGAAGGAGCTGAGGAAGCCGACTTCTTTGGTGTTCTCGGTCATTAGGAACACGCGCACGCGCTCGATAGATCCGACGGCCGAGATGAGGTTTGGAACAGATTGAAGTAACATTGACATTGGGTTCTGAAGGACCGAAAACAGAGACAGAGTTGTAAATGCCCTTGCGGTGGTCAGCTCCGGGCCATTGTCAGATCGCGATAAGGCGATGAATATACCGAAGCCGACGACGGGCGATATGACCGAAGTTCCGAATGCTGGTGAATGTCAGTAAAGAAGTTTTCAAGTAGCCATGAACTAATGTACTAACACAAGCTGACAGCGTATATGAGAAAGGATCGGAAGCGATTAGCGTATCCTATCTCCTGAACTCGCAAATTTTGTACAAAATCCATGAACCAAGGGGTCAGTCCTTCCAACTTCAAGCTCTTCATGGAGTTGATCATGTATGTCGTGACGTCGATTCTCTTTTGTATGCCCTCAACCCAAGTCGCCTGACGTCGCCCGACAGCCGGTGCCATGGTTGCAGCAGTAGCTCCACACACTAGCAGAATGTTAATATCCAATCCTAGCTTGTCTGCTTCGGTGGAAAGACTTACCGACTGCAATAAGGATAGGACTCAGTCCTCCATAGTTCAGCTCGCGATATAGCAGCCACAGTGCCAAAGCAATTTCGATAATATTACCCCAAGCTTCATGCATGTAGCGCATACCAAAAGCTATCTTTTCGATGTCAGCGCTCATCAACGTTACCGGCGCATATTCTTCGGCCGTTCTCGGATCCATGGAGAGCGTCTTCTCATAGATTAGCGGCACAAGGCAACCCCTCATGAGGACGATAGTACGGTAGGTGATGTGCTGGTAACATGCTTCGGAAATCTGAACCAGTATTAGCATTTCGCAAAGCACCAAATATTTGACCAAAATCACCCCTAAACCCACGTATACAATGATATATGCACCGAGCAGCCCATATCCATCCTTGCGATTGTGTTTCTCCGACAAAGTTTGCAGGTATTTGACGACCGCATCGATAAGAAACGGCTGGGTGAAGGTGAAAGCCGTGAAGCACAGTCGAGGAATAACGGCAGTGAGAAGAACCAGCTTGTGCTCCCACGCCATAATCCAGAGAAGTCCATTTCTCTTGCCTTTCCTTGTCGGGCTTGCTACTCATACTTAGCTAAATTCAAAAAAGAGAGGGGGACAAGCCTACCATTCTCCCAAACCTTGGAGAAGCTCTTCGAACAAACTTCAGACTGCAGGGACCGGTTGAGTGTGAAGAGATCGTCTGCCTGTAGATCTTTCTTGGAGCCCAGAAACAGTAACGGATTAACCCACCAAAACATGCGCCGGTTGATCCACCCGACCTTCTCTTCAGGACTGTATGACTGTTCCAATGTACCAAGCGCCCGAGGCCAGGCCTCCTGCACTAGCAAGACCAACTTCCATATAACCGAAATAGTCAATAACTTGAATATGTGACCATGATACCCCACACCCCATAATGTGCGTAGTCGAACGGCATCGAAGGCAATGGTAAAAAAGAGGTAGATCTCGTTGAGAAGGGCCGGTTTTACAGAGCGCGTGTGTTCAAAATGCGATGCGACACCGAGCATAATAGCATCGACCAGACTGAGCGCCGCAGCTGGGATAGTCGTGCGTGTCACGGGTTCATTGCTTGATGTCCATGATACTAGAATAGCTGTTTGGACGGCAGCGAACCACCCGTAGCTGATCTGCGACAAAGTTAAAGATGTGACGAAAACTTGGGCGCAAGAGCACAAGATTATGCGACCTACGAGTTTGGCCGTATAAGCGCCATCTTTACTTCCATCTCTCGGTGCCTTTCTGTATAGGTAGACCACTCTAGGGAAAAGACAAAGAAGTAAAAGTCCGATCGGGCCGATCGTCATTACAGACTCCTCGAATAGCAGAGTAAAGTCGTAGCCGCCATAACACTCCCGACCCTGAGGCCCGAAAGCATCTTCAGAGGCGATGGTGCAGTTCATTGCGACTTCGCCTATATCGATGAGTAGTGAGACGAGGCGCGGATTTGTGCCATCTGGAATAGGGCGACACAGTTTGCACTTCAGACCTTGGACTGCCAGGACTCACTCCTATGGCGTTCGTTGAGTCGCACTGCCTAAGCTCATAGCACTGTCTGGGGTTCTCCAATACTGTTCAAAATCCTTAAATGGATTACCAGCAGAGAGCTTCTGCCTGCCTACCCCCGACATTGTCAGGGTAATGCGCCGGCTTGAGCGCCTGTATGTCCAAGAGGGGCATAATCATAGGTGCAGGCGACTGCGGAGACGCTTTCCAGGCGTGAGTGGTGCTCATTGGCGGGTGCGTAAATATAACCACGCCATTGGAGCAGGTCGGATCCTGCAGCGACGCTTAGACTTTCATGTTTTGGACCCCACACGATCTTCGCTGGCGCGATGAGCGAAGCCTTGGACCATGCAGGAAGGATCCTTGCTATCCATGTGGCCGGTGGGTCCCCTTGACAATTCTCCCCGAGCACGGTATCATGACGGCCATGATTACCGTGACACCGTTACATACGAAATACGTGACGGTTTGGTATCAGAGCAGGTATCAATACTAGGTTCGATACACATCTGAGGCAATTACGCGATGGCTGCATGCCACAATCGTATCAGCTTCACTTGCTCGATCGATTCGTTCAGTCCCTGTTGCTCGAAGCCTCCGACACGAAGCTGACAGAAGAATGTAGTGTTGGTTCTCAGGCTCAATCCAACCTTTCGAAGGCCGGACATCTTTGTACAAGCCTTGTCGATAGACATATCCTGGGAGAGGCTTTCTTTCTTGTTCCTAAAGTTCCTTTTAATCAAATCAACATGGCCTGCCGTCTGTCTCTTCCTTCTGCGAACTCTACCTTTCTCTCATTGACAAGCTGCGCAAATGGCTCCAATTGCTTTATCCATCCCTGAGCCACCTCGTCTTAGCATCGAGCCTAAGTCTCTCGAAAGCATCAAGCATGACTCTATCTCAGTCTCGGAGCAACCTGCTTCTATAGATGACTTTTTGCCGCTTAAAGGGAAGACTGGAATCACAGCTGGGGTACCCGAGATCCTCTGCACAGCTTTTGGCCTTGCCCTTCGTTGCTATAGTACCGAGAGCGTAAACTTTGAATACCATGACGAGGCAGCAACTGAGTCGCGCTCCACGAGTGAGTATAGTATGCCGAGCTCCGAAAGCACTAGGGATTAACTATAACCACAGACATATCATTCAATTTGGATGAGTTCCTCAAAGTCGAAGACCTTCTGGAAGCAGTGAGGACGGCTTTGCAACATCCTCAATCCGTGCCGAAAGCACAAGATGCCAAACGTGACGCTCAACCATATCAAACCTTCCGCAGCGCTATAATCCTTCGCGAAGAACGTGTAGATGGCAAGCCCATCTCGCCATCGCCGAAGGTAAGGCTCACCTCCTTATCAGCAACTCAAAGATAGAGGCTTACCACGTATAGCTTGACCTCGAGCTCCATGCCATAAGTACTAAGAATGGCATTGACATTCGTATGCTCTATACCCCGTCCACGGTGTCAGAGAACCTCGCAGTCCATTTGGCCGACACTCTCCGTCAGACATTCGAATTGGTCAACAACCACCCGGACACTGACCTTGCAAGTGCAACCTACTTGGGCCCGCTAAGCCGCAAAGAGATCATTGACTGGAACTCTAACTCACCTTCTCCAGTGATTAAGTGTGCTCATGAACTAGTTCGACAGAGAGCTTTCCTGCAGCCACAGGCCCCTGCTATTGACTCTTGGGATGCGCAGATGACGTATGCAGAGCTGAATTCATTATCTGACCATCTAGCTACCGCGTTGGTAGGGTTGGGAGTCAAGGCTGAGGTGATTGTGCCATTATGTTTTGAGAAGACGGCATGGTATGTCGTAGCAATGCTTGCGGTGCTAAAGGCTGGTGGTGCCTTTGTTCCTCTCGACCCGACGCACCCTTCATCACGCCTACGAGAGATTGTCAGCCAAGTCGATGCACCAATTGTTTTGACGACAGCCAAATATCACGATCTGTTCGGAGACTTCTCTGTTAAGGCAATAATAGTCAATGAACAAACAGTCATGACGAGTGGTGACAGGTGCCTTGCTCCAGTCGCTGTCACACCTCAGAATCTTGCATACGTGATATTTACCTCTGGTAGCACCGGAAAGCCCAAAGGCACGATGATTGAGCACCAGTCCTTCTGCAGCGGATCCCTGCGGCAGGGCGAAGCGGCCAACATGGGACCTCATTCTCGGATCTTTCAGTTCGCCTCATACAGCTTCGATGTGAGCATTCTGGAGATCCTCACGGGGCTTATTTTTGGCGCTTGTATCTGCATCCCGAATGAACAACTTGGACGCGCAGACTTTGTCAAGTCCATGAACGACTTCCGTGTCAACTGGGCTTTCTTGACGCCGTCGGTCCTGAAGGTATTGACTCCTGATCAACTGCCGCTCTTGAGGACTCTAGTACTAGGAGGCGAAGCTATGTCAGAGTCAGATATGATGACATGGGCGGGAAAGCTCCAGCTGATGAACGGCTATGGGCCCAGTGAATGCTCTGTCGCAGCTACTGCCAACACTCAGCTCAACCCCCAGTCCAGCTCACGGAATATCGGTAGAGCGATCGGTGGTGTATGCTGGATAGTGGATCCGCAAAATCACAACGTACTACTCCCTGTTGGCGCCACAGGTGAGCTGATCATCCAAGGACCTATTGTCTCGCGTGGGTACCTCAAAGACCCTGTGAAGACCTCCGCAGCTTTCTTCCAAAGCCCTGCTTGGATGACCCTGGGTACCTCACAAATCTGGGATCGCTTCTACAAAACGGGTGACCTGGTACGCTACGATGCAGACGGTATGATCCATTTCATCGGACGTAAGGATCACCAGGTCAAGCTCCATGGGCAGCGAATGGAATTAGGGGAGGTAGAGCACCATCTCTGGACAGATACACTCATCCGTAACGGTATGGCACTCGTGCCATACACTGGTCTTTGCAAATCCCGCTTAGTTGGTGTTGTGTCTCTTCATAAGCAATATACGACTGCCTCGGTGCAGACACACCCGAGTATCCGCTTGGTGGACCATGCCGAGGCCGCAGAAGAAACACAGGCAATTGCAAAGAGGCTGTCACATCTGCTTCCCTCCTATATGGTCCCAACCGTCTGGATTGCCCTGGAAAGTCTTCCACTCATGTCGTCGGGCAAGATGGACCGGAAGAAGGTTGCGGAATTCGTTGCTGATATCAGCACCGAGGCCTTCCAGCACATCATGGGTAACTCCGACAAACCTGAACACAAGGAGTCTATGAGCAATACAGAGACATTGGTAAAGACGGTCTGGTCGAAAATCTTGAATATATCGGAGGAGCAGATTGGCAAACACAGCAACTTCCTGTCTGTGGGTGGTGACTCTATCAAAGCGATGGCTGTCATGTCTGAGTTCCGCAAACTTGGAGTGACGGTTCTAGTAGCTGACCTATTGCGGTACAACGTCACTGAAATTGCTTCTAAGATAGAGGAGTCTGGCTCGGCGAATGTGCTCCTGGGCAGCAAGGCCGATCACCTTCCGACATCGCACCTACAGCGCACCTTCCTCGAAGCGTCACGTTCTGGCAACAGTGCCATCCACCACGCTATACTGCTGAAGCTCAATCACAAAGTCAGTATCCAGCAGCTCGACAATGCCTTGAAAAGCATCACTTCTTCCTATCCAGCGCTCACTCTCGAGTTCGAGGAGCAAAATGGGGAATGGTTTCAAGCATTCAAAGACCACGACGAGCTTGAAACTCCAGTTTACCACCTGAACCTGAACCATGTTTCTAGCTTGGAGGAAGCGAAAGAGATTTTGCAACGTCGTCAGGCATCACTCGGTGTAAAAGGCAACCCAAGTTTCATGATTGATTTGTTCTCTGTTCGCGGCTTACAGCACATCTCTCTTGTCGTGCATGCAGCTGCCCTTGATTCACAGTCTCTAAATATTGTCGTCGGTCACCTCGATTACCTGCTTCAGTCAGATGAGGACAAAACAAAACATGTCTGGGAAAGCCAGCTTTTGACCAGACACGAGTTTGCTGATGCCTGGCTTGACCACCTCAGAAGCGAAAATGGCATGAAACCTGTTACCAGCCCATTGCAAAACTTTACCACCGCCACTGTCAGCGGAGATCGGGAATATTTTACAGAGACGCTAGAACTCGACTGCGAAACTACAGAGCTTCTCACTGGGCCCTGCAACGCGAAGTTCGGCACCAACACACCGGAACTACTTCTGGCGGCATTGATCCCCTCATATTACCAAATCTTCAAGAAGCAGGGCCAACCCACCCAGGCTATTATCGAGAGCTCTGCCCGGGAGTCTACTCTTAGCAAGGACTTGAGAGGCCTTGTTGGTCAATTCTCTTCAATGCAATCCGTGCACGTGCCTGTGGAACACTCGGATCAGGTCACTCTTCAGATAATCCGTGAGACCAAGGACAATATTCGCCGAAGAGATAAAAGTAGCACTCTTGGCTCTTCCAACATCATCTTCACCTACGGCTTGCCTGGCCATATTATAGATGGTACTGTATTGAAACAGATCACTCCAACTGAACGACACGGTTTGGGCGCCATGGTCGACACAATAATCGAGGTTTCATGTCTCCTTGAGGCTGGACAGTTCAGAATCACGGTCGGGTCCGATCAGGTCAGCGCTCAGGAGCTATCCCCGTTTGTCGACCAGTACAGACGGAACATTGCGCAAGCAGTCGAGATCCTAGCACCCAACACGGTCAGGGAATTCACTTTAGCGGACATCCCATTACTTGCACTCGATTATCCATCCATTGACAGAATTAATCGTCAGCACCTTCCACAGCTTGGTCTCAGGTCATATCAGATAGAGGACGTGTATCCCTGCTCTCCATTGCAGCAAGGTCTTCTTATGAGCCAAGCCAGGAAGCAGGGCAGTTACAACGTATCCATCGGCTGGGAG